TCTGATGGCTTTCTTCAATTCTTATTTGGCAGAAAACAACTAACCACATCTCTGACAACTGACAGAAAGGTATGCATTTTTTTGTTGTATTCATGCTCCCACAGGCTGTGTAAATTGATGGAAATTGGCATATACACTCATAAATTATTTTAATTTTTGTATACTTCAAACTATTATTCATCCACTTCCCCTAATGTCTGACTGTATATTTAGTATGCAATAGTTTTTATTTTTTATTTTTTATGTTCGATTATGTAAGTGAGTAATTTACCCAATATTTTGTTACTTGAACATCCTGCATTGGTTATGTTGGATATTTAGCTATAAGAAACAAAATGCACAATACGTGTGTCATCTAGTAGCAAGATGTGGAGCTCTAAGAAGCCCTAATAGAGAACGGCAAGACAATCGATTTAAATTGCAGATGTAGCAATAAAAAGCAGTAACACCCAAATGTATGCTTGGGAACTTGGTTTATTGTTTGGTCGCAAAGGGATTGGAGAGTGTGTTCCTCTCAAAGTCTTGGATTCGAATCCTGCTAGATACTAATAATTTATGTGTTTTGGGCAATAAATACAGAGCTTTTCTCTAGCTTTAAACACTAGTGCAAGAAAGACATTTTATATTGGACGAAAAACACATACGATGTAGTAAATCAAAGACATTATATATCGGACAATAGTCCGATGTGAAAAATACACCTATCACATTGATTAACTGTTACATATGATGTAAAATATGAGTAACTTTATTTTATTTTTTTAAATAAAAATCAACATTTAACATCGGTTTTGCCTTTTTGGCCCGATGTAAAATTCAACATTTAATCTCAGTTACCTTTCTGGTCTGATGTAAAATATAAGTTTTTACATCAGTTTCCAGGAACGTTCGATATAAAATGTATGCTATTTTTCTTTAAAAAATAGACTATTTTTTAATGGAATCGTGGTGAAATCCTTGTAATTTTTTGGTAGTTAACTTTATATTTTTTTTTCAACATCACACAGATTACATTTAAGTCGCTATTTGGTATCTAATTTTTCATATTTTTTCAACCAACATGTGCATCAAATAGATAGAATAACACACATTCTTCAAAAATAAACAATTGATTTACAAAAGTATTAATATAGGATACACACGTGTACAAAATTATAAGTATGTTTACACGGTAGACTACTACATCAACAAAATCAATGAAAACATACAAAAATATCTAATAATTTATAAGTCCTTTTCCACACTTGAATTACCAACATGCGATCCACAAGATGATTTGTAGTTTCAGTAAACAATATCAAAATCACATTCACTGATAATAAATAATAACACCAATTAACACCCGCAGACAACACCAAAATCAAGGAACTCAAATTATATATATATATATATATATATATATATATATATATATATATATATATATATATATATATATATATATATAACTAATCCGATAAAGCTTAATTTTTATATATCTCAAAGAAATATGTTGTTCAACGGAGTCGCAAATCATATAAATCATATTGTGTTATTTCTATTGGATCACCAAATATCTATCATACGTAAATAATAATATAAAATTATTCTTTGAAAATTCACATTAAGTTGTAAAACGCAAAGTAAAGTTACTTTTATTACCTGCATCCAAGACTCGGTTATATTGGTAGAGACAATATTCAACATATTATTTTATCACATAGTACCCACAATCAATAGAGTTATGTTGTCGCATTGCCTACAAATGAATGACAAGTCATGTAGCCTTTTTTCTATTGTCATTTGCCATTTGATGAACTCCAAAAGCACTAATTCAGAAAGAAAAACAAAACATATAAAGCCACATAAAATATAAAATTACTTTTGTAACAATTTATGTATATATGATATATATAATATATTATAACAAAAGTCACATGAAAGATAAATTTACTTTGTAACAATTTTTCTCATGGTTTGATCAAGTTCCCGATAAAGTGAATAAAAGACGACCACAATATTGTCTCTTAGACAAATAATTATTAATTGCCAATGATTTATGTACGTGTGTGTGGAAACACAAAAGTTACATAAAATACTTATGTTATCAAAATAAATAAATAAAATAGAAAACACAATTTCATATAAACTTATCCATGAATAAATGATAGTAAGTGACACACTCTGCTTTCGTCAGTAATTTATCTTGTGTGTATTTTTTAACATCTGTTTGAGATTTCGACAGATTATCAAGATAAATACACCTAGCAGGATCCATAAATCCATATATTTCTGATGTGGAATTATCAATACATACACAATGAATATACCTGAATAATTTTAAAATAAACATTTGAGTCAAAATGATGAGAGATATAACATATTAATAGATATTGACAGTAATAAAAAAAAGAAAATGTACTTACATGCACCAAACTTACAGAGTAGAAACAAGTCAATAAAAACCCACCAATAACTCTCTGAAACACTTAGTTGCCATATAAAAATTAGGGTTAAATATGTTTTTTGTCCCTATAAATATCTCAAATTTCATTTTTAGTTCGTTATTAAAATAATGATAAGTTTTAGTCCCTACAAAATTATTATGCACGTAGTTTTAGTCCTTGTTGTTAAACCAATGTGTATTTTTGAATGATCATTTCGTAGAACGTTATAAAAATTTCATTGAAAAAAAAGAAATTAAAAATTTGATTTCTAAGTCGAGATTTTCATTATTTTTATCAAGATCTTTTGAAATTTAAAAAAATCATATTTAATTCTTCTCATTTTAAAAAATTCTAAAATTTGATAAAGAAAAATTTTATAGTATTCTAAACACGTATGAAAAATATTATTCAAAAACTTTAAAGTTTAAGCGTAATTAAATAGTTTTTAAAATTTTAGAAACTAGCAGGGACTAAAACTAGATGAACAAAAATTTTTTAGGGACCAAAATTTATTATTTTTTTAATAGAGATTAAAAATGAAATTTGAGATATTTATAAGGATTAAAAACATATTTAACCCTAAAATTTAATGACACGCATACATATTGAACTGTTCACCAGAATATACATAAAAAAACATTCACCCCTTCCTCCCACAACACTCTTAAATCATCAATCAGTAGACTTAAATAAATGTCTATGTCATTTCCTGGTTGTCTTAGATCCAAAATCATCATCGATAACATAATATATTTACACTTCATGCACAACCTAGGAAATAGGTTATAAATCATCAGGAGAACAGACCAAGAAGTATGGTTAGTACTTAGATTACCGAACAAATTCATTCCATCAGTAGAAAATCCAAGTCCAAGGTTTCTCGACTCTTTGCTAAATTTTGGAAACAAAGAATATATTTTATTTTCTTCCATTGCAAAGAAACAACTACATGGGAAATTTGTCCATCACATTTTCTTTCTTCTACATGTTATCTAAGATTCTTTTTGTGTCATTTGCATGAGCGAACTATCTCTTAAACCTCAAAATTATTGGTAGGTACCATACCACTTTTACGGGAGGATCCTTTTTGACCACCTCATCATCATTAGAATCACCATCTTTCTTTTTGTAGTGCGATGCCTTGCACTTCAGACAATGATTATAGTTTACATACTCTTTTCTGTATAATATGCAATCATTAAGGCATACATGTATCTTTTCATACTCTCAACCCATCAGACACAATAATGTCTTCGTCTTGTAATAACGATTTGACATTATGTTACCTTCTGGAAGCATTTATGTCAATAATTCAAGCAATTCAAAAAAACTTTTGTCAGTCCATCCATTATCTGCCTTCAAATTAAACAATTTTAACACGGCTGACAAACGTGTAAAATGTGTGATCTTGGATACAAAAGTTTATTCTTGTCATTACATAAAGTATCATACACATATTCCCTCTTAAATGAATCATGTCCAATATCACACATCATGTCTTTCAGACGATCATCCATTTCTACACTAACATTATCTCTTTGGGACACATTTGACTTTGCTACTAATTCAATGTACCATATCCATTATGTATAACTTTTACAAATCCCTTCACAAATGAGATTAACCATGATTTCTTTCTTATTAAGTTTTGGTTCTTGATTTGCACAATGAACACATGGACAGAGAAAAAGCACATGAAGATTTTTTTCAGCATTAGTTTTAGGAGGAGAAAGATTTTTTTTAGCATTACTTTCAGCAAATTGTAGAAATTCCACCACTCCTTATTCATACTCAGCACTTAATCGATTAGCTCTCATCCAACTACGATCCATACTTATATTCCCAAAATATTTTTCATAATAAAAAACAAAATTTTATTTTATTAACAAAAGTCACTAACTTATCTTATATTAGTGTTAAAATGGTATTGAATGAATGATGAAAATAACACTAATGATAATAATAGTATCAAGTGAACAAAAACCCGTAACGTTAAATTAAAAAAAAATCAAAATTAAATAGTTAGCCTTTGATCTCTCGACAATGTAGAGAAAATAAGGGATGATAAAGAAACGTGTTACATTCTTTCTACCGATAAAGAACAGATCAATGAACATAAGACAGAAAAATTAAACAAAAACATGGAGATAAAAAGAAAGGTAAACGATTCAATTTCTAATAAACTTCTTTAATCTCTCTCAAAGAACCAAAAGACATGGTTCTCTCACTGTTTTTTTTCAAAACAAAACACACCTTTCTTCTTTTCTCAAATACAATCTTAAGAGTAAATAATCAATTGAAACACTTACCTCTTCTCTCTTTCAAACATAAAACAGCAGATCACATATTCTATTGAAATAGTATTGCAACGAAAGAAAAACAGCGATAAAAATAAGAAAGATCAAACCTGGACGACAAGAAAAACAAAGCGATAAAAATAGGAAAGATCAAACCTGGATGATAGTGGGTTGGAGGCACATCCGAGAGCGGTGGAGGCGCGGCCGAGAGCGCGGACCTGAGATATGATCGACTCGCGGTGGACTCACGGCCGAGAGGAGATCGAGAGCGATTGACTCACGGCTGAGATGCGATCGAACTCGTTGTGGAATCGCGACTGAGATGCGATCGAAAGCGGTTGACTTGCGGTGGATTCGGCGGCTTCAGAGAAGATCGAGATCTGGCGGCGACTTCAGAGGAGATCGAGATCGAGATCTTGTAGCGGCTGCGTGTGCGGTGTTGTACTCTAGCGACTGTGTGTGGAGGCGAGGAAACAAAAGGAAATGAATTGGGTTTGTAAGGCAAACTAGGGTTTAGTGAAAATTGTTGAAGGCTCGGGAATTCACATTGGTTGCTACGAGGTCCGATGTAAAGGCCCACGAATTCACATTGGGTTCAAATCCAAGATTGATATGAGATCTGTTATAACAAAAGTTTATATTATTTACGAAATTGTCACCTTATTATTTTTTTCCATCAGACGAATTTTCACATCGGTGTAAAGCTAGGTCCGATGTAAAATTTTTTATAACAAAATTTTATTTTATTTACGAAATTGTCACCGCGTTATTTTTCACATAAGTGGAATTAAATGTTTGATGTCAAATCTCTAAATCAAATATTTTTCACTTCAAATTGTTATGAAATCTAATGTAAAATCCTTTGACAAATATTTTCACATCATATATCTTGAAACCTGATGTAAAATCATTTAACTAAATATCTTATTTTTAGTTCTTCGGATTAGTCGGTCATGGGATCGAATACCAGATCATTTTGAAATTGTTAATATATATAATGAATTGCAATGTTGTATCTCCTAGGTCTATGAATATAGTTTTTAAGAGAATTGATTTTGTAATACAAAAAAGAGTAACAACGCAGTTTGTTGTCCGTTTATCTTTTATTTTTGTATTGACCTAATTTTTGATGATTAATATCATTAGAGATTGAATATAATGACTTCTTCAGTTTGCCTCCACCTTGATTGTAACATATATCTTACACCATGTTTCTGCCAATGCCATCCATACATTCATTCACAATTTGGACATTTGACTATGTCCAAGTTGGTTGAATCTATTTTTTTTAGTTGAAGAATTTACAAGATTATGAGCTTGGGGAGGTTTTTTGGATGAAGGATATGATGATTTCTAAGTTATTGGTTTTGATTTTGAAAAACTATAAAGCTAGCAATACTACACACGAGGGGCTAAAATTAGGGCTTGCTCTTCCAATCTTTAGGGTGAAGAGTTATTCTAACGAAACTTGAAATTGTCATTTCAAAAAGTGACAAGTTTATTTTCGTATGCCATACATATCATATTCGTTTGTAAGCGAACTACATCTTTATTTTGTAAAAAGAAAATTTAAATAAATAAGGATGAATACTTCCATAGGAGAGGGTACATATATGATTGATACATATATATTGATTGATGGTGCAGTGAAAGGGTAGCTATTAGTAACACTTTCAGAAAACATCTACGTCATCCATGATAGTAGTAGGTATTTTGTCTTTTCTAACAACAAAATATACTTACAATATGTTTTCCATTAAAATCAACACGAAAGTTAAAATTTGAAAAAGAAAAAAAAAGTTACACAACAAAATATTACTTACAATATGTTTTCAATTAAAATCACACAAAAGTTAAAATTTGAAAGGAAAGAAAGATACATTTCATGGATTTAGATTCAAAAAAGTGCATACACTAACGTATATTATTGTGATAATTTCTTTTTATACCTAATACTCTTCTTGTAAGTTTCTGACAAAAAAAAAAACAAAATATCCTAAGAATTTAAATATGTATATTCGATCGCATCATAAATTATTTTTTTATTAAATTGACTTCGCATATGCATATTCGAAAATATCTAATGACTTATTTCATATATGTATATTCGAATTTATCTCTGAAACAGAAGAGTCAACATAATTTATAACATTGATTCAACATAATTCATCGAAATACATAAATAGTTCTACCAAAATTTAAAATTACATATTATTATAATCAGGTAGTTGAGGACTTTGCAACATCTTGATAACATTTTCTCCCGATCTTTGAAGCTTCACATCCACCTAAATCGGACCCATAGAAGAGTATCATTGAAAATTATCCCATATAACCTCTAAATCGTCGTCGTTCTTGAGCTCAAATGAGGTGAACTTTATGTTTCCTTCAGTGTCAAGTGAAGGTGAACGATACTCAAGCTTGACTACCTTTCGATTATCTGGATATTGCAAGAGAGAATTCAGTATGGTAATAAGCTCAGCGAACGGCGTATCCTGCGAGAACCTGAATTAAAGTGACGACTTTGCACCACTGAAGTAGACAAAAGTAAGGTGTGGATATGTTTGTATCATTTCTGTTTGTGGTTTGTGATTTGTGATGGAGAATTAAATAGTTTAGAGACCCTATTTATAACCCTTTTAGAGCAATTTAGACCCAAAAAATCTTATTCTGCTATTAGGACATGATTCATATATGAACAACCGAAGTAATCTAATTCGGATATGCACATCCTAAAACACCATATTTTTATAAAAATAAGAGGTTAATTCGGAACTGCATATCCGAAATAAGTCATGTATTATTTTTTTTTAAAATTGAAGGTTAATTCTGAAGTGCATATCCAAATTATGCAGAACCAGAATCAACATCATTATTTGTACCAAAGAGACGTGGAAAAAATAAACAGTTATAAAACTAAATATAGATAATATGTTATATATTTGAATCGTATAAATTTTACAATGTATACGATAATACATTCAAAAAATGGTTCGATTACATTCTAAAATGCACCAAACAAATTGTCACCTCTTAAATTTAAGACTGGTTGTTTCTTAAACTTCTCCCTATTTGATTCTCTCTAAAGCTCCATCAAATTGGTAAAATCTACCATCCTTTTCAAAAAGTGATCTGGTCAAGTTTCAGCTTCTTTTGCGGAATGTGTGTCCACTCCACTGATGTAGCTGGAATATAACACTTCAGTTTCAAATAAACTTGAACATAATGGCGTGATCTAAGGTACCCAATACACATGATGCGACTGGATGGATCTTTAGGCGAGGGAGCCCGAAGAGGGAAATGTTTCCTAACAACTATATCTCGTCAAGACGATACACACCCTTTCATATGCACTTGCTATAAGATGACCCATTTCAGGGAACCTCATCCACTTTTCAACTGGTGCACGAATGCTAACACTTGGAACAAGAGCATTGTGATCATGTTTCCGTCTTCACCCTTTTTTTCTGTTGCCAACTGTGGGTTTGAGTCGAGCTCTCACATTTTTTGTTATATGATACCAACAAAGTAATGCAATTGATGAGGAAACACACTGCCAACCACAATCATAAAGGCATTATCTCAGTCGATAACAATGACCTTATGCATATTTTGTGGATCCTTCAACAAAGTCTTGCATATACCCAACACCCAAGTGACATTGTCTTCTTTCTCACATTCTAAAAAACTAAATCCAACCGAAAATGTCTTGTCCATAGAGGTGACACCAACAATTTCTAGAAGCGAAAGCCTATATTTGTTGGTCTTGTACGTCAAATCAATCATAAGAACGCTTGGAAATATGTTGAACAACTTGATACTTTCTGGATGAGTCTAAAAAATATCACTGTTGTACCCCAAAATTTCCCCTCCCATTTTCTTCAAGATATCTCCTTATGCTCCCAGGGCTTTCAATTGCCCAGGGCTACTCAAGGTTTGATCACACAAATTCTCCTCCTAAGCAGTTGGCCTACAATTAGGGTTTTGGTTTTCTCAAAGAAATTTGAGCTTCTAATGCCTCAAGTGGATTCCATGGATCCTCATATGTCTCAAGGAATGCTCATGCCAAATTTCAAGCCTTGCATCAAAAGATTGCTCAGTCAATTGCTCAAATGATTGAAAATCAACTGTATTAGATAAAAAGTCAACTATGGTCAACATACAGCCAAACTTCAAGATTTTTGGTCAATATCAAGATTTTAATATCACAATCATCATTTGATCAATATTTGATCATGATTCATCAAGAAAACTCCCAATTTACCAAAAGTCAAAAGTTACCAAATTAGGATTTTCTTAAGGAGAAGTCAATTGAACTTTGACCAAGCATAACTTCCACACGCTTCATCATATTTTTCTCAACCAAAGCTCATTTTGAAGAAAATTTAATTCTCTACAACTTTATCTCTCTAAGATCAAGTCCAAAAAATGCTTCATTTGAGAGATATGAGCCAAAACATTACAGGTCATTTTGAAAGTCAACACAAAGACACTTTTTGTCAAGGTAACTTACATCAAGATAAAGTATTCAAATGAAAAAATTATTAACATAAAGATTGTAGAGAACATCTTGATCTATCCAGAAAGTACCAGATCAACTTCATATGATAAAAATTGAGAGAGTTATGATTGGTGCAAGTTGGACAATTTTGAGAAAATGCATGAAACCTAAATTGATCAAACTTGAAATTTTGGGCTAGTGGGCTTATCTTTCAAGGTCCAAACGTGTTTTAGGATTCATAGTGAACCTCTGAATCTATTCATACACCCTTTGATTTTTATTCCATTTATTTTATTTATTTTATTTATTTAAATTCAAAATTAAATTAAATAAAATCAAGGCTTTCATACAAAGGTCTAAGCCCACTTTCTTGACCTAATTTTTCTCTATATATTATCATTATTCAGAGAAGACAGAGGACAAGAAATCTTGCAAGAAACCACCACCTTCCAAACTTCAAATTTTCTCAAAACTAGGGCAAACTACAAACCCTATTTTCAGCCTCTCTCAAAGCAAAACAACCATCCCATTCAACCTCAGGGACATCATAATGTAAGAATGGATCAATTGTGATGATCCAAGAAGCCTGAAACACATAACTATGCATCACCGATTTTCATTCTTGCATAAAATTTATGTTTTTGTTTTTATCATGCTTTAATCGAAACTAACATCACTAATGTTCTTGTGAGATATCAATATGCAGGTTTGAACCATCACATGGCCACCGTGATGTCAGAATCATGTATTACTATGCTTACACTGTGTTACATTATCCTCTTCGTATCTCATCATACAGGTAGAATTATCCCAAACCAAGGCCACCATTGAATTCGCAAGGTCTAAATTAGGGTACCTTTGAATCATTAACAAGCTTTATTTTTCAGGAACCAAAAAAGAAGTCGCCAGAGAAGACGACCGGAGGTAGGGCTCCGTCGCCTCTCCGGACCAGTCTATTATGTTTATTTTATATTTAATTGATTTCATTGATATACCGGATGACACAACCACCCCAGTGGAAAAGACGCGCGCGTTAAGGCTATTATACATGAGGGCGTGGGTTCAATCCCTGCCTTTTG